ATCCTGACGGGGTGTGGGGTGGAGGGAGCTACCAGCTGCCTTGGTTGGTCACCAGAGCAGTGTCATTTAGAGTATTGTCTGGCGCCCTGCTGAGAATTTCCTCAAAGCTTTTCTATTATTTCCTAAGTAGTTAATGGTCTGTCCCCAATCTCTTTCTGCTTAAAAAAGTTAGAGCAGTTACTGTATTTTGCAACGGAACCCTAACGGGGCAATTTTCTGTCTCTTTGGCACCGAACATGATTCCTAGCACCTGTAAAAGAACACATGTTTATTGTTGTCTTAGTCAGTGGTTCTTAATCTTTTCTGAATATTAGAGTCACCTGGGAAGCTAATCGAACACACTTTGTAGACCCAGACCCAGTGAGGCATAACAGGGCCCTGTCTGCATTTTTGTCAAGTTCCTTAGGAAATTTCCATGCTCTCCAGTCTGAGGAGCTCTGGTTTAAACAGTCTAAAAGTCTTACTGGGTACTAGGTGTGCTCCTAAGTTTCGGCTGCTCAGAATCATTTAATTTGAATAACAACCTTATGAGATAGGAAACTAGTCTAATCCTCATCTTCTGGATGAGAAAACTGAGGCTTTAATAAAGAGCCAGGTCGCACAGGTCGTAATAGTCCATCTTAGTATCTAACCCCAAGCACCAAGCTTAGACCACACACAACCCCTTTCTTGTGTCCCTCTGTTCTTCTGCTTGGATGGCCTCCTCTTTTAGTAGGGCCAAAAGCTGAATCTCATTAGAATTTGAATCAATTTCTTAAATAATTAAAAAAAACTTAAATAGCCAATCTCTCCGATCAGATCATTCAGTTACTAAAGAAAATTACTGGGCTAATGAGAATCTTTCCAGCAAAACAAAAGTCTCTTGGGTAAATGCCAACATACTTCAAAGTCTAATAAAATCTATTTAAATCAAGGAAGAATTTGAAGGAATAATTAGTGTCAGATACAAAACTAATAACTCCCTGAATTTTATTATTATCATTGAAGTGAAGAATGGCAAAACTGGCCCTTAGTTCCATCCTTTTATTAGAGAACACATTATATATGTTCAGGAAGAATAGATCAAAATAGTATTCTTTAGCTGCAAAATCCCACACTCCTTTTTTTTCTTACTAATCATGTTTCTTACATTTTCAAGATTGCATCTCTAAGATTTAATAACATCTCATTATTCTCCTAATACCTAGAATTAATAATGTGGAGGAAGATATCAGAAGATGCCCAGAGAAACTTCTGATAGAATTTACAGAAATGCACAATGGATGAAATTTCCTCCCCTTTTTACATTTTGTAAGCTTTTTAATTACTAGAACTTCTCAAATTTTAATTTTATCATAATTCCAAGAGACGGTTTTTGAAAACTTTTGAAATTGCCATTTTTATCAGTAGTCGGGCTAGTAAGTAAAAGTAGAATTGGACGTTTTTGAAGCAAACATTACCCCATTTATCCCAGACAGGAAATGTGATCTAAATTAGTTGGGTTCAAAGTCCAGCTCTGCTATTATCAACTTTATTGTTACTTTTGACCAGTAACTAAACTCCAAGTCTAAGTTTGTTATTCTGGTAAATGTGGGAAAATCATCCTCATTTTCTGGGGTGTTTATAAGAGTTTCAGTGAGACAGTGTTAATTGCTTTCTCTTAATATGGCAACTCTATAGAGAGAGAGACGGAGAGAAAGAGTTTTGTTTGTATTTTGGAAGAGGAGGTGGAAAACTAGAGTTGTGATCAGAACTGATAAGAAGATGAACCAAGTGGATAAGTAGATCCTGTTCTGCTGTCTTATCTGAACCCTAAGGGCTGTGTTTGAGAAACTGGGTACTTATGTTGCCCCCATTAGACCTCTTTTTTTTTTAAATTTATTATTTATTTGTGCATACAGAACTGGGGTACAGGCCAGAGGCTCAGGGGCGGTGAGAGGCTTCACCAGAGACAGAGTGGGGAGCAGAACAGGCAGATCTACGAAGTACACTGCTGAGGGAAGCAGTGGGCGGGTCAGGAGAGGTCTGCCACACCATGTGGTCACCTCCGGGGCAGGTGGGAATTGAACTCATGCGGAAGTGGCTTCAGATTCTCAGTGCTGTGCTTTAACCCGCTGCGCCACCAGGGAGGGCCTAGACCTCTTTTACCCCAAGAAATGTACATTATATTGAAGAATAGATTTTTCCATTGCTCATTTCTGTTTGTACAATCAAAGAGAATGATCTAGAACTCCAGTAGACACCTTTAGATATAGGGAGGGCTTCTCTGAAAGTTATTTATGAATAAGCTGCTTTTTTCACAAGTCATCCATTTTTGTCGAGTTTTCTTTATTTACGTTAACAGTGGAAAATATTCTGCTCTGGTCATGCCATCATTTATTCATAAACTTTCCTTTGAATGAGGCAATGTTCCTTGCTTTTAGTTTTTGAAACATCACTATATAGACTGTAAAAATGCCACATTGAGAAATAGTATATTTTAGATTTTGGGTCCTGAAATGTAAACAATCAACTTTGTGGATGATAAGTAATATGTATATTGCCTGGCTGGAAGAACTTAAATTAATTGTTATTATGATTAGCCCAAAACAGTCAGACATGCTCATTTACAAGGGTTCCCATCACAGTAACACTCTTACACTGAAGTCATTTTGGACAATGGAGTAAATATTCAACAACTATTCTTTTCCTTCCTCTTTCCCCCAGATTGAAGACAGAATAACAGATTATTTCTTAATGTTTAGTGGTTACATGACACAGCTCCAGGCAGAAAAAATCTGTGGGGAAGGCTTTGAGGCGTGTTGGATAGTTGTTCTTCCAAAAAGAAGACCTACACTGTTGTCAAGATTGTTTTGATTCTTCCCACTCCCTTGTGGGAAATAGGAAGAGAATGTGATGTTCGGAATTGTAGCATGCATCTTGAGATGGAAACAATAAACTGAAGGATTAAAGTCAATATGCTAATAATAGCAGTTGGAAAAGAAGTAAAGACCCAGATTCTTGATGATGTTGAGGCATAGAGCCAACTTTGGGACATTCCTGCTGACTTGTTGGTGATTAGCATCCTATAATTTTGACCAGTGGAACTTAGATTTTGCTCCTGTGAATTTTGTATTGTAGCGCAGTTCTCCCTGAACTCAGAAACAAGATATGACTACCACTGTAGAGAGGTGACAAGCAGAATCAAAAGGAACTTTTTCTCATGAGAGCTTTTGTGAGCCGGGCGCAATTGCGCGCTCCTGTAATCCCCGCTACTTGGAATGCTGAAGCGGGAGGATCGCTGGTTCACCAGTTCTGGGCCACAGTGTGCTGCACCTAGGTGTCCACACGAATCATTTTACACGTGGTGACCTCTCCGGGGGTGGAGGTCTTCTGAAGCCGGCCGGCCCAGGTCTGTACACAGCTGGGAGCAGAGAGAGAGCTTTTGTGAAACTTGGGACTTAAGCACTTCTGTAGTTTTGTAGCTTTGCAGCAACAAGAAATAGCACACTGGACAGTGGCTTTGAAGCATCAAACATCACCTAAACAGGACAGAACATGAGTAGGCTTTCCCCTAAGTACACAGGTACCACTACCTGAGGACTCCAAGAAGTAACAGGAAGAGACTTTCAATAAAGCCTAAGGTCCTTTTCCAGCAAGTAGGTAGGGACTGACAGTCCATGACAGGTAATAATATCACTATGGTCTCCCTTGTTTCCACCTGTGACATTTGTGCTACACACAATACACACAATAAATTTTATTTACTTTGTGTAAATCTATTCTGCAGACGGAGCCTGTTAAAAGCACTATCTCCTGGGGACCTCCCTGGTAGTGCAATCGGTTAAAACACCGCATTATGAAGCTCTTGGAAGCCACTGCAGCACAAGTTCCATCCCTGGCCAGGGAGCTGACCCACACGGCATGGCAGATCTCTCCTGTCTCACCCGCTGCTCCCCCTTAGAAGTGTATTTCAGTAGATCTGCCTGTTCTCCCCACTCTGTCTCTGGTGAATCCCACTACCTCTCTGGCCTATACCCAGTCTGTAAGCATAAATAAATAAAATCTTAAAAAAAAAAAGCACGATCATGGTGGTGGCCCAGGGGTGATTTGGTGATGGGAAACCCGCGGGGATTACAATCGAGATGGAAAAAAAAATGTGCAAAATGATGTAAAAATAAACTTTGTAATTAAAAAAAAAAGCACGATCTCCTTCTAAAACAATCATTTAAGATATGTTTCATTGTAGATATGTGAGTGATACTCAAGGGAATAAAGAACTTATTCGTTTTTGTGTTAGATTTGAGGGTGCGTTTAACGTGGTCCACATCTTAGGTTAAGTGAGGTTGCTGTTCATAATTTTCAAATGCATTTCCTTCTACTCTCTCTCTTCTACAATGAAGTGCAGGACATTGTACGTAAATTAGGTTAAAAGAGAGTAGGTCTGGGAAAGGCAGAGCCCCAGAATCTTAAAACGTTTTTCTGGGCCTTGAATTTGAAGGAAATTTCAGACTTCTCTGGAACCTGTTTTGGATCACACCCACCCCATCTTTAACTGTCATGTGAGGCTTCTAGGCAAAGACTAAAGAGCCTAATTCAGCCATTTGGTGACTACAAAGGAACAGGAACATCTGCGGAATTGTTACTGTTTCACGGAAATCCTATCAAAAGCTTGTTGGTGAAGTCCTAGTGGGTTAGATGTCTATTCAACAAAATTCCGGAGAACAGGAAACGTAGAAGTAAAATGCACTGCTACGCCCAGTGCTAAACACTTTCATAGTTATTCCCTCAATCATCGCACTATGTTCTGAAATATAAGCACCTCGTTCAATCATACAGCTAGCTAGTGCCAGAACCTGACACATTTTGGGTGAAATTGGCTGTCATTGTCTGCACGACTCTGTTTCTGCAGAGCTTGAAAGGTGGATGAGGAATGATCCAATATAACAAAACAGAAAAATGCACCCCTTTAAGTTCCCCCTTGTGACCGGAGGCGCTGTAGCTCAGGAAGAAAGAGCTCCTCTCCTCTCCTTTCAATACTAGACTAAGCAGGAACAATGAAATGAAAAGAAAAGCTCTCCCTCCTCGGGCTTTTTCTGTCAACGGAACGCAGGGGCTGGGCCCGACAAGCGCGTGGGGGAACAGAGAAGAACGGACACTCGGCCTGACAGTTGCCTGGTAACGCCCGCCGGAGCGGTCCCAGCGTAATAAGGACCCTGGGAAGTGACACTGGCCTGGAGTGGGACCCCGTAGTCCGTTCTCTTGGCACCAGCGGCCTGTCCCCGCGCCTTGGCGGGGTCGAAACGGGGAGATGTTGCAGGAAGAGTCGGATCTGTCTCTCATTATTGCCCAGATCGTCCAGAAGCTCAAGGGCTCCAATTTGTACGCTCAGTTGGAACGGCAGGCCTGGGTAAGTGAGCCCCGGTGGGTAGGGATGGAGGTGGAGAAGGGCCTCGGCTGTGCCTCGCCCCTACAATCTAAAACCTAAGCCTGAGCCTGACTCTCTTCTGTCCGATCTCTCTAAGTCCGTTCCTGTGTAGAAAAAACCTCCCTTCCAGGTGTAAGCTATCCTTGCTTAGCCGCACGTGTGGGATAATAGATTTTTTTTAACGATTGATTTATGTATGCATACAAAACTGGGGTACAAGCCAGAAGTGCGGGGGGTTGAGAGGATTTGCCAGAGACAGAGTGGCTTGCAGAGTAGGCAGATCGACAACCCCGGCTGCAGGGAGCAGGGGCGAGACAGGTGAGGTCTGCTGCGCCCTGTGGGTCAGCTCCCTGGACAGGGGTTGAACTCGTGCTGCAGAGCTGCTCATGGTTTCACAGTGCTCTGCCTTAACGCGACCAGAAAGGGCCTTGGGGTAATAGATTTCTAAAGGGTGGGGGCGCATCACTCCCTTTTTTATTTTCAGGCCAGAAAAACGTGGAGACTCATTCATTTACTATTGTTGTCATCTGCAAGGTCTAATTTCTTAAGCTGCTGTACTCAGTGAAGTTAAACCTGACCACACCTTCCCTCACGTTTTCTGTTCAGTGAGTAGACTTAGACCACTCCACCTGGGGTACTTTTTTGTTTCAACGTTCATCACCTGTATACACTCTATCTTCAATGATTCCCCCTCTATTTGCCCACCTAGCTTTTATTGTTTTCTAATGTGCTTGGTTCTCTGAATGCAGAGATCAGAAGACTTTAGTCCATTTTTGGTGGCTGTCATTTATGTGAAATCTTCCAGTGTATAAACTTTTGTGCCTGGTTTCTGAAATTTAGTGTAATGCTTTTGAGATTCATCTATGTATTTGGTATTTCATTACTTCTGTTCCTTTTCGTTGCTGAGCAATATTTCATTATTTGGGTGTACTACCTTCTGTTTATACATTTGTTGTTTCTAGGTTGTTTCTGGTTATAGAGGTGATGAATGAAGTTGATATATTCATTCTGGTATAGGTTTATGTTTGAATATCTATTTTCTTACTTTTGGATAAATACTTAGGAATGGAATTGCTGAGTAGTATGCAAAGTGTATGTTTAATTTATAAGAACTTGCCCAACATTTCCAAAATGACTGTGCCCTTTCACATTTCCAAAAGCAATTATAAGAAATGCAGGTGCTCTGAATTCTTGTGAATACTTCATGTCAAGTTTTAAATTTGTTGTTAATCCTAAGGGAGCCTGTCTCATTGTGGCTTTAATTGCATTTCCCTAATGACTAATGTGGTAATGTAATCTGTTTAGATCTTTTGTCCACTAATAAAAAGTGTATTTATATTACTTATTGAATTGTAAAGACAATTTTTATATGACTCAAGCCCTTTTCCAGATTTTTGCCCTTCAAATATTTTCTCCCAGTCTGTGGCTTTCTTTTAAATTTTTAGAATTGTTTCCAGATTTCCAAATAAAATTTTGATGTTTTCTACAGGGCTTTTCCCCTTGGGTCCTAAATTCTAATCTCTTCTCTTGTTGGACTTCTGAAATTTTTTTCATGGTCTTCCTGATTAGGTCTTTAACCTTTCATGTCACAGAATCCTGATATTCAAGACATTTTTTGAAGAGATATTTCTTGGAGGTCTATATGCTTAAAACCTCCAGAGTCTTTGCTGAAACTGCTTATTTCTCTGTACCCCTCTTTAGCACTCCACCAGGCTTCATTCCAAGTTTATACTCACTCTCAGTTCCTTGTTCACATTCAGTAGAAGTTAATGATCCCAGGAAGAATATGGTTATGGAAGCCAGTTCTTCTCTCAAGATTTACCCCTTTCTGTCACTCTAGCTCTTATTCTTTCAGCAACGCTCTTGTACTTTCCTATAGTTGATCTCTCACCACCAGCTTTCCCAGTTCTAGGCAGGGGTACTTATCAGCCACCACCTCCTTCATCCAGCTTGGAAATATAAATCCCATTTTGTAGGACTGAACAAGGTAATAGGCCTGGCATATTCACGTTTAGTAAATGGAAGCCTCAGAGTCCTTAAAAAGTCCTAAGGCAGCATCACTCCTTTGCTTAAAACCTCACAATACTTTTTATTGCTTAAAACCTCACAGTACTCTTTTATTGCCCAGAAAAATGTTCCAGACCCTGAGTAGGCCTGCAACGCTTGTGGTCCAACTTGTACACACTTGTGTCCTGCAGCACTGCCCTTCACTGGCCAGTTCTTCAGCCAAGACCATCCAAGCTTGCTAGGTCTTCCATGATATCCCACCTTGGGTTAGGTACATGTCTTTTGTGATCCACAGTACAGCAGGTCCTGGAATAATGTCATTTCATCCAATGTCATTTGTTATAACCTTGCTGGAAAAAAAACAGCCTTGACCACTGACATCATTTGCAGATCTGTGCATTCTGCACTAGCATAGTGACTGGCATGAGGCAGGCCCATAGCAGGTGTTTATTAAGTGGAGTGAACCTTGATTTTAAATGTTTATAACTGAGTACTTACTGTGTGCCAAACACTACTCTAAGCACCTTACTCTCTAAACACTTGTTTTTATTCAAACTTAAGATCTAATGAGTTAGTAGCTATTTCCAAATGATAAGAAACATTAATTTTCTAGAAAATAAGTAAGGATGACAAAAACTTTTTTTTGTTGTATGTTTTCAGAACTTTTTGTACTTCAGAATTGCAAATAAAAAATTTAAGCCCAGTATATAATATAACCTCATTTGGAAATTACTGCCTGGAAACAATTACTACCCTTTTATTTTGAACTCCACTATTGAATTATTTGGTTACATATTAAGTATTTATTGAGTTTGTACTATACATCAGGCACAATTCTAGGCCCAGGGATACAGTGGTGTATAAGGTGTTTATCCATCAGGGGGAGATGACAGTTATTACAAATTTGGTCAGGAGTTGCACAGCAACGTATAGGTCTATCATGGACCATGTTGGGTAGTGAGCCCCAGATTCCTGCTGCCCAGAGACATGGCAGCAATCTTAATTTTATAGCAATTTATTCCAGCAGCAGTCTCATACATCTCTCTTCACCAAATCTCTTAGTTTTCCCTTGTGCTTCAAGTAATCTCATAACCCTCAAGCATACAAAATACACTGTTAATGTTGCATTTGCACCACACGGAAATCATCTAACAGTACATTCCTTAGAATGTAGCCTGTCACTATACAACACATAATTTTAAACACAAGTCCTCATTCTTTACCCAAAACCTGAGGCTAGGCATCCTTTGAAATTCAGATTGTTTTTTTTTTTAATTTTAGAAAGATAATTTATACATATTTATGTCACTTAATATCTCTACCACAATCTTGCCGGACTTTGTAATTATACTCATTAATATTTCTGCCACAGAGCATATGAATTTTCACACTGTGTGATAAATAAGCACTACAAATAGTCTCATGCTAATTCAGGTCAGATTTTATCACCAAATGAATTCAAATTAGGATAGATTTCTCCATCAACTCAATGATGGAAAACTGACTTTCAAAGTTTTTCAGGTTTTGGAATTTCAAATATAGGATTATGTACCTGAACCTGTGACACAAAAGTTATTGCTTTGATGTAATAAAAATTAGAGGCAAGGGAGTAGAAAGAAAGATAAAATTAATATAGAGATTACATGGGAAACTGAAAAACATGTATTTGTATTTCTTAAGATAAAAAGAAGATGTATGTTACTGTAGCTTAGTATTTTGATATAATGTAATTATAGGTGTTTTAAAATTATGTAGTCTTAGGCTTGAAAGAAAGTTTTGTAATTTTGCCTCAGTTTATATCATTAGCAAAGACATTTAATGAAATCAACTAATTGTTAAAAGGCAATTTTATATTCAGGTTTGATAATATACTTTAGCCAACTGACTGCTTGCTACATGTCTTTTAAAATTTAATTAGGAGAATTTTCCTGCCACCAGCATTTTCTTTATTGCTTCCATTTTGTCTGTTTGAGCCCATTCAAAAAGTGCCGGAGAAGTGTTGGCCTGATTTAGTTATAGGACTAATATTTCAGAGACAAGTATGATTTTTCGATTTTTTCCCCCTCCCCACTAACTCTTCTCTTTTAGCATTATAATTAAACATTGACTGTATTTTAATATGTCCTTTTACATATCACAGTGTAATTATTTAAAATTTTTGTGTGATAACATGGAACTTGTGTTTCCAGAAAGAGGTTATGACATCAACTTACAAAATGGCGGCTGTTCACTCATCCCTACACCCAGAGTGACACACACTACTGGAGGTCATGCCTTGCCCACGGTTGCATTGCTGGTTTGCATATCACACAGATTTGTATTTAAAATGGGTGTTGTGTAAAATCTCAAACATTATTTCCATTCTGTTAAGTGTTTGATAAGTCTTGATGCTCAGATTGCTATTCTAAATAATTGAATTGTGAAAGGAAGGAACTTGAGAGAAGATGGCTTTGGGCAGGAAGGAAGAGGGAAGGAATAACACAACTGAGAGGCTGTTCTGAGTTAGAGTATGCCATTGCTAGTCCCCTCTACCTGTGTTTACATTTTTTTTTAGTTGTACCTCAAATCTTGTTTGCATTTTAAAAAAGATTTATTTTATTTATGCATACAGAAGTAGGGTACAGGCCAGAGGCACAGGGGTGTGGTAAGAGGATTCACCAGACAGATTGGGAGCAGAACAGGCTGACTGACAAAGTGCACTGCTGAGGAGAGCAGCGGGGGGGCCAGGAGAGGTCTCCTGCGCCGTGTGGTCACCGCTGGGCATCAAACTCGCCCTGAAGTGGCTTTAGCTTCTTAGTGCTGTGCTTTAACCCTCTATGCCACCAGGGAGGGTCCTTGTTTGTATTTTTTTAATCATTATCAGAAATACCTTTGTGGATAATTTGGAGATCATAAAAAGAAGAAACTGCCGCTCATTTGTTACTTATTTTAGGAAAATGAAAATTAAATGGAACTAACTAAATACACTTCTGGAA